GCTCGGGCCCGGTGCGGCGCGAGCTCAAGCAGTTCCTGGGCTGGCTCAAGAAGCACGCGTACTGCTCGAACCTCAGCTTCCGCCTCTACGATCAGTGGCGCGCCTGGATGCAGAAGTCGCACAAGACCCGCAACCAGGTAAGGAGGGAGAGCCCAGCCAGGTGGGAGTGGGGACCGCCCCCAGGTAGGCCTGACTGGAGACCGGGAGGGTCGGGAGAGCTGGGGGCGGGGCGGGGCGGGGCGGGGGCTGGTGCTCCGCAGCTTCCGCGACACCGCCGCCTTCCTTCCAAGCACAGGACGAGGGGATCCTGCCCTCGGGCAGACGGGGCGCGGCGAGAGGTAAGGGGGCCCGGGCTGGCTCGTGGGAGTCGCTGAGCTGGAACACGCCCCCCTCCTTAGAATCTTACTCATCAGCACTTAGCACCCAGTTTGCCCCCCACCCCCCAAGCCAGAAGGGAATCTCATCCCATGACCCCAAGTCTTAGGAGCGAGTGGATAATAACCACATTGGATGTATTCCCACAAGAGAGACTGGGTAGTTAGCACGTCCGAGTGCCTATTGCATGCCTGCCCTGTGCCAAGCACCCTACACACAGGACACCAGGTGACGTGGGCAGCCCCATTTATCAGATGGGGAAATAAGCCTCAGAGAAGGGCAGCGCTCTGGCCACCATCACACAGCTGAGTGTGGGGCCAGACGCCGATTCCTCCGTATCTGCTCAGCAGTGCTCAGTCTCTGCTTTCCCTTTACCCACAGGTCCTGCCAGATAAACTCTAGGGTCCTGGCACTGCCATCCCACCCAAGATCCTGGGGGGCCAGGAACATCCATTTTAGGAGCTCTGACAGCCACAACAGCTCAGCCTCTCTGGAGGCCACCAGTGGGGGTGCCCCAGTACGAGGGGTATACAGCCCAGGCAGATAGCCTGAAACTGCCAGGGCTAGGGTGAGGCGGGGTCATGACTCCCCTCGACCCAGGACCCCGCCAGAGTCCTTCAAAATAAATGAATTATTTAGATGCTAACGGTGCAGGCGGCTTTGAGTGGGGGTGGGGGTGGCTGGAGGGGTCCCTATGACCCTTTGGGGCTGGAATCTCTATCCCCAGTTTCAGGCTGATGGCCTGGTCTCCGGGATGGAGATTCCTACAACACTGGCCTGTGGGTTTGGGGGAGTCAGGGAGGGATGGGCAGTTTCCACCAGCCAATCTTGGTCCTGCTGGGGCCCCTTCCCTACATGCTCACCCCGGGACACACAGATGACGGAGCAGCTGCAGACAGAAAAGTTTTTATTGGGACGGGAGGGAGGGGGTTAGCAGCCCGGTGGGGCACGACCCGGCCAGCTGGCGGTCAGGTCGGGCTGGGCGCCATTCTCTGCGTTTCCCATCTCCCTCGGAGTGTCCCTGGGGAGTCGATCACTCTGCAGACTCCGCATCAAACCTGAGGTCCTGGAGAACTTCGCTGATTGCCTCCATGGTTTTAATTACCCTACAAGAGCGGATGGGAACTATAAATAAAACCCAGATGGGGTGAATTAGCCGCCGCTGCGCAGCCAAGGGGGCTGCGGCAAGCCCTGGGCCCTCCTGCCCACCGCCCAGCCTCCAAGCAGCACCAGTGCTGCGCAGGCCCATGGGGGCGGGTGGGTGTGCACATAACGTGTGCCTGGGAGGCTCCGTGTGCTGGCGTGTGCGCAGTGGGGGGAAGCTGAGTGTGCCAGGTGAGCCTGGGAGTGTGTGTGAGCACACGTGCGTATTTGGAGTATTGTGCTGGTGCTGTCCAACCGTGAGGTGGGGCCTGGGGTGTCCCGGGTGGAGCCAATGTAAATGTTCAGTGTCTGTGCTCAGGGATTGTGAGCTGCAGGACCCTGGGTGAGACTTTGGAATGCACAGCCCAAGTGCTGTGTGTAGCCAGATGATCCAGCCAGGCCAACGTCTTGGGGACCCGTGGTGGCTGGGGTGGGAGCCTGAAACCAAACTAACTGATTGTCATCAAGTCACAGCAACCCTATAACACAGACTAGAACTGCCCCATAGAGTTTCCAAGGCTGTGGTCTTTACAGAAGCAGACTGCCACCTGCATTATATTTCGATCCCTCTGGTAGCAGCCCCACACTGTTAGCCTCCAGTTTAGCCCTGGTGCGGCCAGTGCTCCTGAGAGCCCCAAATCCACAAGCGAGCTCATGGCCAATCAGGAGATTCCACCGGAGAGTGGCCCTTTACAGGGTTTCTGCAACTATACATCTTGACAAGAGCATTGTCCTCCGGCTGGTGCGTTTGAACTGACAACCCTGTGGCCAGCAGGCCAATGCCTAACTCACAGTGCCACCAAGCCAAAAACAAACTCAAGGCCATTTAGTCGATACTGACACGCAGTGACCCTATAGGACAGGAGACAACTTCCCCTATGGGTTTCCAAGACTTGCAACTCTTTGCAGGAGTAGAAAGCCTCCTCTTGCTTCCACGGAGTCAATGGTGGTTTCAAACCGCGAACCTGGCAGCTAGCGGTCCACTTTGTAACCACTACAGCACGCGGCACCCCCAAGGTGCCCTGCAAATCTAACACGGGCCTTGCTGAGGGGAGAAGGCTCACTTCATCTTCAGCTCCTGCATCTGTGAAGCATCTTCCTGTTCCCTCAGCTCCGGTGCCCCCATCAGCTGCAGCAGGGCCACCTGAAGGGAAGGGTAATGGGAGGGCGTCCCCACAGGTAGAGGCTACCCTGCCTTCAGTTTCCCACCATCCTCCCACTTGCGGCACAGGTGGAGGTCAGGAGGGGCGGAGCTTTGTGTGGGAGTCTTCTCAGGCGGGTGGGGGGCATGTGGGTGGGCCAGGGAATCCCAGTGCAGGGATAGTGGCCATGGTTGGGGTGGGGGGTGGGGGCGACGCCAGATAGCCAGCTAGGGAGAGGCGGGGTCCGGTACAGTAGGTGGGGTCTGAGAATCTGAGGGGGTGAAGTTTTGTAATCCCCAAATCTAGAGCAGGGCTGGGATTGCTCGAGGGGCGTGGTCCAGGAGCTGAGGGCGGGGTCTGGGCATCTTGGTAGCATGGAGGTTGAGAACAGGGCTGAGACAGTGGGCATGACCTCGAACTGAGGCAAAGGGCACCAAAATTGGGAGGGGAGAGGGGACTTGGCCGCAGAAGCCCGGAGGCGGGGCCGGTTAGGGGCAGGGTCCGGGCTCACAGTGGTTAGGCGAGTTTGCTCCAGCTGTTGCAGGGTGCGCACGTGTCCGGCGAGCAGCGGCTGCCCTCGGGGCCCGGCCAGCTCGGCCTCCAGAGCCAGAACCTCCCGGGAGGCGGCGGCGAAGGCCTGGGTCACCTCGTGTACTGAGCCCCGGTAGCGTGGGAAGTCGTAGTTCGGGCCGCTGTGCACGTACTGGCGGTGGGCTCTGCGACAGACGGGGTCCTGAGGCTGTGCCACGCAGCGCTACGCCCGTGCGACCACCTCAGGGTCCTACAGAAGGCCTTTCAGGTGCCCGGAGACCCTGACCCCGCAGGGGTGGCCGAGACCGCTCCCCACTGTCCGCCTCCATAATGAAAAGCCCCGCCGAAGGGCGTCCAGGACTGGGGCGCGCCCTGCGTTCCTGCGAGCGGACCCGAGAACCTGGCCCCCAGCAGATCCCATCCCCGGTCGGCCGCGAGGCGCACGGGGACCCCAGGAGCCAGTGCCCCACCCAGCTGGCCGCACTCACTCCTCCAGCCGGCGGAAAGCCTGCGCGCGCTCAGCTTGGAGCTCGTGGATCCGCTGTACCAGTGCGTGGACCGGGGCTCCTTCCTGTGGGCGGGGGCCACGGCCCAGATGTGAGGCTGGCGCCCCCGCAACGCGCCGCCCCGCACCCCCCGCCCAGGCCCGCGCTCACCCACGGCCACGGCGGGTGCCCGCGCCGCGGCGCTCCGGCAGCGGGGGCAGCTTCCTCGGCCGTGATCATGACTGCCTGACCCGGACCTGCCGCTCCGCTGCGTCCACCGCCCCCTGCCGGTCGGGAGGACTCAGCCTCCCCACACCCTGGAAAACTCCAGACAGGGCTTGTTTTCCATGCAGATGCCGGGCTCTCTGGTTTTAGTTCATCCTCACCACAATGCAGCAAGTTGAAGACCTTCACCTAACGCCCGCGAAACTCTAAACGAAGCTCTGATTCATCCGTGGGCCACAAAGTTGTGAACTTAACTGGGATTGGGTCGAAGCTGCCCAGTTGGTGCCACCAGCAGGTAGCTCTGGAACCAAGTCAGGCCAGGAGAGCCCTGAGGGACGATGGAGCAGCCAGTCTCAGTGCCAGGGTGAGATCTGCCCATCCAAAGGCAGGGACTGGGTCAGAGCTTCATCTTCAGTACCTGACTGTTAGTCTGGGTAGACTAGAGAAACAAATTCAGACAATATGTCTATAAGAAAGAGCTTTATATAAAGAGTAATTGTACATTAAGAAAACATCCCAGCTCAGTCCAGATCAAGTCCATATATCCGATATTAGCCCATATGTCCGATACCAATCCATAAAGTTCTCTTCAGACTCATGAAACATGCAGTAAAGCCAAATACAGGAAGATCACAGGCCACTGGGTGGGAAGTCTTGTGGATCCCGTGGCATTGTAAGCATCTCAGTGCTGGCAGAAATCTCCATGTGGCTCCTACAACTCAGGGCACTAGTGTAGCTCCATGTGTCTTGTCAGCTGCAATGTCTCCCAGGGAGTCTGCCCGTGTCCCTCTTCCAGTGAGCTATTTATCTCCTTAGTGCCTCCAAATGAGGTCAAGTTGTGAACTGATTGAAGGCAAAACTCCACCCCTTCATTCTCAAATTGACAACACATTATGTAACTACCACACTGACCCAAAAAGGATCCTTCAGGGACAGAGGCGGCAGATAGGATGAAGCAAGGAGGCCCAGAGGGGGCAGGGAGCAGGGGACACAGATGACAAACTGAAGTGGGGTGACCAATACCAGCCTTCAGCAGGAATGCCCCTGGGAAGGTCTCAGGTATCCAGCTATTCCCGACATCAGGCCCTGAGGGAGCAGTGTTCCACTCAGTGGTCAATCCAGGGGTCTCACCCCTAACGTCATTTCAAGCCAGTAGACACCAATCTCAGGGGTGGGGATCCAGACTTCTCATTCTCACACCACCCTTCAGAAACCAGGGACACCTTAAGTTGAGTTAGGTGTGATTCAACAGGGTCCAACTCCTGGCAGACAGAGCACAGCCTGGTCCTGTGCCATCCTGTCAAACCTGAGCCATTTGTTGCAGCCACTGCCTGTCCACCTCATCAGTGGTCTCCCTGGTTTTCCTCACCCAACTTTTGCAAATCCTTCTCCAGGTGCGATTCCCTTCTGATGGCCCACCTGACAGTTCTCACTACTCCTCTATTCTGGCTGTACTGCCCCCAAGGCAGACTAGTTCTGGCCACCCGCGGTATATACATACATTATACAAGGGGCTTCAAGTAGTTCACAGAAATTCCTTTTTCTACCAACTCTTTGAAATCCCCAGTACTACCCTCTGAAAAATACAAAACTTGCTGCCATCAAGTCCACGCCAACTCACAGCAACCCTACAGGACAAGGCAGAACTGACCCTGTGAGTTTCCGAGACTGTACTCTTCAGATTATATAATCTAAAGGTGTAGAAAGCCTCATCTCTCCCCTAAGAGTCTGGTGGTTCCAAACTGCTTGCCCTTTCAGATCTCAGCCCAACACACAACCACTATATCATCTGGGTCCTCGTGTAGGATAAGTGTCTTTATACCCATATTCGCAATGAAACTCAGGTGTGGGTAAGGACTTCACTGGACTTATCTTGTGTTTGTGGTAATCTTGTTCAAGGGCCAGAACTACAGCCTGTTTTAAGGATGAGTTGGCTAAGATTCAGGATGGAGTGTGTGGGGCAGAACTGAATGAAGAGATCCCTTGTCCCTGTCACCACCCTCCTGAAAAGACCAGTCAAAGACAACAGTTATTGCTTCAGGTCAGTGAAAGTGAGACTTTATTAAGGGCCCAGAGCATTGGCCCCAGGAGAACCCAGCAGGAGGCAGGAGAGCCGGTAGACAGGGGCCCTTATTTGACCTTCTTCTTGGGACGCAGGTTGTTGGTGTGGCCACACTTCTTCTTGCGGCAGTTAACTGCACGGGGGTGAAGGCGAGCATAACACCTGTGTGGAAACAGGAGGTACTGTTAAAGGTGTGAGGTGCAGATGAGCCTTATGCCTAAATAACTAGGGTACATGGGTGCTATTAAGGTGCTCTGACCCTGCTCCCAGCCTGTGAGCAAGCACTTACTTGCGGCAGATCATCTTGTCGCAGTTGTACTTCTGGGCCAGCTGGCGCAGGGACGGCTCGATGATACCACCACGCAGACGCAGCACCAAGTGCAGGGTGGACTCTGTGAGAGGGTGGACACAAGGATCAGCCAGAGTGAGTGGTTGGTACCTGGCTTTACAGGGGCCCACAGGGCTGTCCAGTCCCCTACAGAGCAGAAGAAAGCCAAGAAATGCAAAGAAGCCAAGGACCCCTGAGAAGCTCTGTGGTGGACCACCCAGCCAGAGAAATTGGTCCACCACCTGTCTTAGCGCGAGGCTCACACAAGTCAACCAAGAGCTCCTCTAGGCTTTCCGATTTCTAAGCCATGTGGGGAGGAGTTCTGTGTTTTGACAACACAGGACCTCTCAATCTTCCTCCCACTATTTTTAAACACCCAACATTTATCAACTTAATAAATAGCCAAAAGAACTCAAATAGGCAAGAGACCTGTGGTCACTAGCCTTCGGGAAAATGCACGGCCACAATGAGATCCTACTAGCCTCGCCCACAGGCCCGAGGCAAAAGAATCTACACACATGCACAACATTCAGTTAGTTGGAGCAGGCTCGGTGAAGTGTGGCTGCCCTCTCAAAATTAATACAGTACCATACTCCAAAAACAACCCAGACAGACAAAAACAAACTCACTGCCATTGAGTCAACTCTGGCTCAGACCTTATAGAACAGGATGTAACTGTCCTATGGGTTTCTGAAGCTGTAACTTTTTCCAATTGAGAGTCTCATCTTTCTCCCCCAGAACAGCTTGTGGTTTCAAACTGCTGACCTTGCCGCTTAGCAGCTCACTTCTTAACCACTCCAGGGCCCAGCAACTCCACTCCTACATCCAAGAGTGGGAGCAAAAGCCCAGGCACCTGTGATCATTGTGGCACTTGTCATAATAACCAAGACATGGAAACAACTCACAGGGTTCATCTACAGACGGGCCCACAAATCGAGGTCTTTGCACACTACAAACTATCACCCCACCACCGAGAATCTTGGAGCACACTGCAACATGGCCCAACTCCCAAACTCTTGTTAGCCAGGCCACAAAGCAACGGATACTGCCCAAACCCACCCACAAGAAACAGCTAGAAAAGTCAAATATTTGCAGACCTAAAGTCAGTGATGACAAGGGGCTGAAGGAAGCAAAGAGAAGGAGCTGTTGTTAGTTCTGAGTGTCTGCTTATGGTGACGGAAAGATGCACTGAAGACGGCTTTATGAAATTGCCAAGTACTGTGTATTTGTAAAAAGCGGATTGCCCTTTGTATTTAAATGCTCTCCGGTATGGGTCCACTGCCGGGGCCTTGGCTTCACAAGATCCTGCTTCCCAGCACCACCACACCCCGGTACCTTTCTGGATGTTGTAGTCCGAGAGAGTGCGGCCATCCTCCAGCTGTTTACCAGCAAAAATCAGACGCTGCTGGTCCGGGGGAATGCCTGTGGAATGGGAAGGGGATGAGTCCAATGACTGAGGCCACCCACCCAGGAGGGCTCTGGCACCAGGCTCAGAAAGACAACCAAGGCTTGTTGGCGAAGCTGGGACTCCCTTGGCACCCAGCCCCCGTTGCACACTAGGTAAGAGCCACAGGGCCAGCCCCACTCACCCTCCTTGTCTTGGATTTTGGCTTTGACATTCTCGATGGTGTCGCTGGGCTCCACCTCAAGGGTGATGGTCTTGCCCGTCAGGGTCTTCACAAAGATCTGCATGTTTGCGTTAGCTGTAGGGAGGCATCCCAGTGAGCCAGGCAAGCAAGTCCAAGCCATCTCTGAGCCTGCAGGGACCCTCAACCCAGCCGCCCCACCTCTGCACAAGCTGTCTTTCCCACACTGGAATGCAACCCTAAGTATGTTCTAGGACTAAGGCCCCTTTGATGGCCCCTCCAAAAGCCTGTCGTGGAACCCCACGTCTTTGTGATGCCCGGGCTCGGCACAGCTGGGACGCATTTCCTGACGGAATGACAAGTCCCTCAAGCCCTCCTGTGGCTGGCCACAGCCCCACCCTTCGTTCTTAGACAGACCCTGGCCGGCCACAACTGCCCTTTGGCGGGCCTGGGTAGGAACCCCGCCTTCATAGCCACCCCCACCCCTCTAGCCTCCTCTCTTCACTCACAGTCCAAGCCGGGTCAACCAACACCCACTTCCTCCCAGCCCTCACTGATGGCCACCAC